GATGCTTCTTGTGGTGGTGGTGGTAGTGGTAGTGGTGAATTGGGGCTACTGTAGTTTTTGACAATGGTGGTGTTGAGGTGTAGTGGTGGTTTTGGTGTTGTTGAAGGTTTTAGGTGGTTTTTATTTGTTGCGTAGGTAGAGATGTTGGCGGCGAAGGTGGATGAGGTATAAGTGGGAGGTGTTGATGGTGGTGGTGGATGGTGTTGGGGAGGGTGCTCACAAGTGGCAGTGATAGTAGTGTTGGTGGCGGTGAACCAATTATTTGGTTATATGTGATCAAGTATTAAACTATGACTTTAAAATTTGATAATTTGTAATCGAAAAATAATTTGTCACTAAAAGATTTGAAAATTTGTGATCGATAGTAAACTGTGACCTGTAATTTTTTTGATTTGTGACTAATGAAATAAATTGTGACTTATAAAATTTTTGATTTGAGACCTCGAAATAATTTGTGATCTACGAAATTTTTGATTTGTGATTTTGTGATATCGAAATTATCCGTGACCAATTAATTTTACAATATATGACCAGTAAAAAACTTGTGATCTATAATTATGTATTTGTGACCATTAATTGTATACTTGTGATTTATTATATTTAATTAATAAATATATTTAATTATACACACACACACTCTCTCTTAAATTTTGAATTTTTAAATTATATACCTCACTTTTGACTTGGTGTAAACTATACACTTGAATTATTATTTTTTCTCCTGAAATAATATGGGAGATATTATTACTTCTTAATGAGCCCGCAAAATACAAAACAAAACCGAGACAAAAAGGTATCTTATGTATGCATCTCACATCCTTAGCAAGAAAAGAGTCAACACAATGTCACCTCTTGTTTGCCATAGGATCACGCTTTGCTCGTGGGCCCCACAGGAAAATTGTAATACCGAGGAGCACCTAAACAAATCCGTTCTCTTCCTCACTAGTAGGCCCCATTGCCTAGCTTTTGAATTCCAGTTATTATTGGTTGTTGTCTCATTAGCCAATGAAATTTTGATACGTAGAACAGAGGTTCGTAGACCTTGGGCAGATGATTACCTCCTAAATTTTCAAATTGCCTGAGAAATTTATTGGTGTCCAAGGGTAATCTGGTAATTCAACACCCCCAAAAAACTTGAAAATTTAAGATAAAGGAATAACACAGCCATGTTGGCAATCCGGGTGAATTTAGTGAAATTATTTTAAAACCGTTGGATTAAGAAGAAACAAACAATCCCTAGCCATTGATTTAATCTCAAAAAAACTCAATCCTCTTCCTCCTTTTTCGCTCACTCGTTCCAGCTCTGATCTGTTAACCTTTTTAAATCCCTTCATTTCACTGATTTTTCTGCAACAAATTTTCATCAGCTCTACAGTTCTCTCCCCCTGAAAATATTTCTCTCTCAAAACTCTCTCTCTCTCGATACAATTCGAAAATTTCTGTTTTGAGGTTTTTAGTTTTGTGGATATGGCGGCTGAAGAACACCAGACTAACGATCCACTCCCTCCAAATCATGCTCAGCCACCGGCACCGGCTGTAGCTACGGGGGCAGCTCCTTCCACTTTGCCTCAGTACCCAGACGTACAGCGCTATTCTTTTTAGCTCTGTTCAACGTTGGTTCATTAATTTTTGTTTGCTTTAAATTTTGAAAAATTTTGGTGAATTTTACTCAGTAGTTGTTGGAATTTTTTTACTTTTCGTTGTGGATTTATTTTTTAGTTTTGAAATCTACATTTTCACTTGAAATTCGTTAATTTCTACAGTTTCGTGAATTTTTTTCGTCATCTGTGTGAAATTGGCTGAAATTCAACGTAGAAAATTCAGTATATTTTATTTGATCTCTAAAATTTATGATGAAATTGAGACTTTTTTTACAGTTGATTATGAATGCAATTGATGCGTTGAATGATAAGAATGGCTCAAACAAATCAGCAATTTCAAAGCACATCGAGGCCACCTATGGAAACCTCCCGCCGGCCCATTCAACCCTGCTTTCTCATCACCTGAACAAGATGAAGGCCACTGGGCAGCTCCTTTTCGTCAAGAACAATTACCTTAGGCCGGGCCCAGATACTCCACCGCGCCGTGGCCGTGGCCGTCCCCCGAAGCCCAAGACACCTCTTCCACCCGGCACTGTTTTGCCGCCTCCTCGCCCCCGCGGACGCCCACCCAAATCCCGGGATCCCAATGATCCGCCTCCTCCTCCAAAGCCGAAAGCCGCCCCAAGCCCAGCAGCTTCTGGCAGGAAACGTGGGCGGCCGCCGAAGGCTACAAAAACCGGGGTTCCGCCGCCTTCTACCTCCGTTGGAGCAACAAGTGGGGTGCCAAGAGGCCGGGGAAGGCCACCGAAAGTGAAGCAAGCCGTGGCTACTCCGGTAGGGGCTTGATTGCAACAAAACAAGTAGTTCAGGGGCTTCACTGCTAATTGTTGTTTCTATTTATAATTTAATTTTTTAGTCCTTGTAGTTTGGGTTAATTTTAATTTAGGTTGTGATTGAGATTGGGAGACTTTGATAATGTTGTAACTTGTTGTAAATTTATGGAGCGGCAATTGATGCAAAATGCTCGTTTTCTTTAATCTCTTATTCTTCTTACATGTTTGGCTTAGCATAAAAGTTCACTTACAACTTATAATTGCTAAATAAAGCTCTACAATATTTTATGTAAAGAATATTTTATTATAATAATGTATTGTTAAAGATGAGTATAAAAAAACAAGTTTTCAAAGAATAATTATCAAATTGGGGCACAATAAGAGCATTTTGGTTTGCTTCTACTGTAGAAGTTAGGTCATGTTTGGTGGAACACCATTTCATAGAATAGTGGTCAAAAATTTGTAATAGTGAATTGTTAAAGAATGTGTATTTAACAAATAAGAAAATTTTGAATTTATGAGTAAAATATTTTATTTGAAAATTATGTGGTTGAAAATAAATTTAAAAAAAAAAAATGAATTTTAAAACAAAGAGAACCAAAAAGAGGCTTATTATTGAATCATTCCTAGGGTTTATTTTGGTAGATTTTTTGAAGAGTTAAAAATATTTTTGAACATGTCTGAATAAATTTTTGGAAGGGTTTTTAATCTTTGTAACTTTTTAGAAAACATTTTTATAAGAAATAAATTTGTTACTAAATGGGTTCTTAATATTGTAAAATTAAAATGTTGGAAAATAAGGGTGCGGTTGGTTTGCCGTTTTTGGGTTATTTTTCGTTTTCGAAAACGCATTTGGTCCTATGTTTTCGAAAATGAGTTAAAATTTATAATTGAAAATGTAAAACGACTTTTTATCATTTTGAGCGTTTTCAATTATAAATTTCCAAAACGCTCAAAACGCGGAAAACGGGTCGTTTTCGAGGAAAACTAAAAATCGTTTTGAAAATAAAAATGGAAAATGAAAATGCAAACCAACTACTACCTAAGTTATTTCTGGCTTCTTTTTCCACTTGTCAGTAAATTGTTTATTTTACAAGTCTTTGAAATGCATTGTTTTTAGCATCTGTTTTGAAAATTAAAATTTAAGTAATTTTTGATAAAAGTTCATGAAATATATAGTTGAAAAAATTGTTAGTCCCAAGAAATATGAGATTGCAAATAAATTAGAGAAAAATGAGTTTTAAAAATTGGGCAAAATAGAGATTTAGCCCCTGTTTGAAAACCGTTAAAAAGAGTTTTTCAGGCGAAAATGATTTTTGAAATAATATTTTTTTTAAAAATGTATAATTAAAAAATAGATTTTTTTTTTATTTCTACGTGCAAAATATTATATTATGAGAATAAGTAGTTAAAGATGAGCTTAAGAAGAAAAAAATTGTTGAGGGGACGAGTCATATTGTGGTTTGAGTATGTTAAAATGAGCAACTTTTTATTTGTATTGAAATTTTTATTTAAGCATGTTAAAATTTGTTAGATTTTGCTTTGATTAATTGATTCCCTTTTATTATAATATTGGGAAAGTGAAAATCAATGGCAGAATGTGTTTGGTTGGAATATTTCATTTAAAAAGAAAGTGCATTGGAAGAAGGGAAAATTGTGTCTGTTTGTTTTCTTTAATTGTGGATGGCAGTTTTTGCTGGCAAAAGATGCTGTAATAAAGAGAAATGAAAAAGTAAGAAAACTAAAGCCATGAAATGTATGCTTAGCAATTTATCACACCAAAAAATTATTTTTCTATCGTTATTTCATTATTTTAGTCATCATTTTTAACTTTTTCACTTGCAAGTGAGACTCACTTTTCTCAGTAAAAAAATCAATTCTTATAATCACTACTGAACACGTTCTATTATATCAGATTTATATCTTATTTTTGTTTAGAGTGGTTTGGCTCACCATAGTTGACTAGAAAGATAAAAACAATGAGGATGAGAGTTGAAAGAATTGTATTAAAGTGAATTATGATACATTTTTTTGTGTTACACTGTATTAGATAGAGGATTGTATAAGGGTCCATTTCACACAGTTGTTGTAAGGAGAGTTTTTTTTATTAGTATTGCTTTTAAAAAAAAAATATTGTTTTCATTTAAATAGTGATGACAAAAAAATTCGTCCCGCTCCGCTTCGCTCCTAATGGGATAAAAAACCAGTCTCGAACAGGTTGGCGAGACGGGGCGGGGCAAGGCAGGCATGGGGCTAGGATGCCCCGTCCTGTGAAGAAAAAAAATTAAAAATAATTTTATTTCTAAACAATTTATTTTGAATTTGTATTTTATTCTCTAATGATGACATAACTTGAAATTTTGAAAATATAAAAAAATAAAAAATAAAATAAAAATTAAACGGGGTAATAAATGGCGCAAAAAGTTGCCCCACCTCCACCTCACGCCCCGCCCAGCCCTATCTAAGGCGGGGATGGGCGAGGGCCCTTTTAAGGGGGGGGGGGGGGCGTGTATGTGGGGCGAGAGCTCCCCGTCTCGTTTCCATCCCTATATCAATTTTGGAAGTATACTTAAGTGGTTTAAGAGTATTTTCAGGAGACTTTTAAATACAAAATACTTTATATTCTAGAGAATCAACGTTTAAAAGTAAGTTCCAAGAAACTCTTTATACAATTTAAATTATTTAAATTATATTTGAATTGATTGGTCATTAAACAACTTCAAAAGACTTTATTTTGGAGAGAAGAAAGGAAGGGAGAGATGCGATTCATCAACAAAGAGAGAAGGAACTTTTAAGCCACTCTTCTAATTGGCTATTTCGGGTTAACATAGAAGTAGAGCTTTATCAGTAATGCTTTTTCAAAAAGAATTGTTACAAATAGCTTACAATTGTTTGGTTGTCAACTAAAAAGGGCTGTGAACATAAAATTAATTGTTTGGCAATATAACTAAAAAATACTTTTGATTTATTAATTATACATTTATAATTGTATGACTAAACATTATTCTATTTTTATATAAAATTAAATATTTTGATTAAATTGTCTTGGAATTTTTTCTAGCATAAATCGGGCAATTTAAATTATTTGTTTAAGACATTAAAGCATGACACATTAATGTATAAAATAACATAAAAAAAAACCATAATTTCTTATATCATCTTAATTTTTTTTCTATAATATATTATTGGACATTAATAAATGAAAAGTGTTAACAAATTAAAAAAAATGTCATATATATCACTCAAAAAATAATCTTACTATTAATTTATAAGCATAATTAATACAAATTTCAGCCATAATTAATACAAATTAGAATACAACCAAACAGTTATATTTTTATATAAAATTGCTTCCGACCTTCTAAAAGTGCTTTCGAGCTCCCAATAGGCCTTTCGAGAAACACTTAAGTAATGGAAAGAAAGAAAAAAAAAATCTAAATTCTATTAATATGTAATTTCTTACCATAAGTGAATTATGTGATTTTTTACTTAAAAATAATAAATTTTTAATTTAAATTTATTTTTACTTAGAAGTATTGTTTTACTTTAAAGTGAATTTACTCATAAGTACACTAATTTACTTATTTTTTATTCACCAATTAAATGGTGTGTAATGTCACCGATACTTAATATAACTTAAAACATCATTTCCGAGTGTCTGTGTATTTATTTACATGAAAACATAATCTGGTCTAAATTAACCTGATTGAGAATCAGATAATTTTGTTTAAAAATAATTTGAGTAGTCTTAGTACCAAACACAATGCACCCTTAGGATATAAAGTGGATTGGCTGAATTCACAATGCTCACATACTTGTCCCTACTCGCTTGGGTTGAGTTTGGCGAAATGAAAAATTTTATGATCAAAGCGAGTAAAATTGTGTTTAGCCGATTGAAGTGAATAAAAAAGATTTTAAAAATTTGTAACTATAATTATTTTATCGTTCTAGCTAGTAGTTATCTTTTTGTGTCAATCCTAGTTCACCATTAAATAAATAAAATTGCTAGGAATGTACCGAATAATCAGTGGCGGATCTAGGTGGTGGCGAGTTAGGACGGTCGCCCTAGCTAGATTTGCTTGAACGGTCGTGCATGCTGCTCATTTGGAATTTTCAGTAGTTCTCAGGCGGCAGTCTTGCAGTTGCGGAGATGGAAATTGCAGAAGAAAGAAGCAAGGAAGAAGACGACTGAATTGGGTTATTTTCTCTCTCTTTTTCCTTTTCAGTTTCGGCCCTTTTGTTTGGGATGATGGGCCTCTCTTATTTTTTTTAAAAAATATTAGGCCCAATCCATGAATATATGTCCAATGTATATCTTTAATTGAAAATCCATTACTAATTACCCATATCATTGCAGACGGGAAACCCATCTCCAATTCTCCTTCTTCCCCACGATTTGTGAAGTGCGAACTCAGAAGTCAATACTGTAGCTTGGCGACAAGTCGTCGCCGACCTCTCCAATCTCCAGTCTTAGACTGACTTTGAGTGCCTCTCTCTCTCTCTCTCTCTCATTTTTTATTTTTGTTCACTTAATTCATTCTTGATTTATTATTTATGAGATAATTTATTTTTTATAAGTTATGAAAAATAACCATAGGAATAAAAGTGAAATTGGAGTATGTGATATTTAGGGATTTTGAATTTGGATAGAATCACTTCTTTAGTTAGCACAAATTCGGTGTGAATTGAACGAAGACAACACTGTAGATGGTTGAGAGAATTTAGGGATTGGAATTGGCACTAATTTGGTAGAAGCAACATGTGGATTGATTAATGATTTTAACTCAATAGATCGAAGATAATTGATTAAGATGGAGAGATTCTCGTCAGTTAATTGAATTAGTACAAGGAGTTGAGTGATTTGATTATTTTTATTTATACTACTAAATTAAGGAGTCGGAATCAGATTGAGATTGTATCTTGTATTTTTTTTTTTCTATTATTATTTCGGATTGTATTAAATTGTATTTTCATGTATATTTTTTACGTTTTAGTACATTTACTTATAGATTGAAGAATTTTTACTATTATTTAATATAATATTATTAATAAACATCCTCGTTACTATGGACGTTGTTTGTCGATGGTCAATGTTCACCCTACCTGAGTTCCAATCCTGGATTCGCCACTGCGAATAATACTCTATCCATCCCATAAAGAAAGACTGACTTTTATTTTCACACGAATTAAGAAAATTTAGCTAA